AAAAAAAAAAAAAAGCAATTTATGTAACCAAACATTTGTACCCCCCTTAATATTCTGAAAAATTTTAAGAAGTCTTAAAGAAACAGAACTAAATGCAATTAATTTGCATTATGTGTTAAATTTGTCTCTGCATGCCAATGTCACAAAAACTGACAATAAATATTAGGTCATTATCAGAAAAAGAAAGAAATGAATCTCCTCTTCATGAGGGTCAAAAGAATATTATGGTCACTAACTGACAGAGAAGGTAAGTATTTGTGAGTGAATGAATGACTGTTCCTATGGAGTTGAAGCAATTAGAAAAGACAGACTTTTGAATGTAAATTGTTTAAATAAAATCCCTTTGCTGAGAGCACTGAGGTTGAGGTGTTGGCCTTCCTGACAGAAAGCTTCTGTTGTATTTCAGTTCCAAGATGTAGCACAGGGGTGACCCAGGGTCATTCCCAGGACCTTGAGCAATCCAAATGTTGAAAGATATGAAAAAAAAAAAAAGCAAAAAGCTAAATTTGTGATTTAGCACAGAGAGGGAAGGCTAAGAAGGGCTGTCATAAAACAGCATTCAAAGATTGTTGTAAGGACCACACTTCTCTTAAAACTTGTTCTAGCTAAAGAGAAAAGTATTTAAGTTAGGCATGAATAGGGCTTAGGGCTTTTTAAAGATTGTCATTAAAAACAAAAACCATGGAGGTGGGAGCATCCCTTGAGCTCAGGAGTGCAAGACCAGCCTGAGTACAAGTGAGACACCATCTCTACTAAAAATGGAAAAATCAGCCAGGCATTGTGACAGGTGTGTATAGGCCCAGCTACTAGTGAGGCTGAGATAGGAGGATCACTTGAACCTAGGAATTTGGGGGTGCTGTGAGCTAGTGCCATGGCACTCTACCCAGGGCAACAGAGTGAGAGTCTATCTCAAAAAATAATAAGTAAATAAATACAAATAAACTTTTAAGAAGCCCACAACGTAAAATTTTCTATCTTAAACATTTTTAAGTATATAGTATAAAAGTTTTAACTATATGCACATTGTTGCACAATGAAAAGGATTTCCTGGGCAGTGCCTGTGGCTCAAAGGAGTGGGGCGCCAGCCCCATATATTGGAGGTGGTGGGTTCAAACCCGGCCCCAGTCAAAAACTCCAAAAAAGAAAGATTTCCAGACAGTGAAGTTTGTGAACAATGCTTGATCTCTCTCAGTTTGGTTGGAAAGTATTGAAATTTCCTTCTTTGAAATTTTGAAAAATGGCTTGCATTCTGAGTCCTGAAGGGCTGGCCAGGATAATATAAGGATCCCTTCTAGCCCAGCAAACTTGGTGCTAAGGCAGTGCTTTGGAAAGCCCAGCTCTGAAGTAGACTGTGTAAAATTAAACATACATGGTTCCCTGCCCAAAGTTAAAGGTACCTGGTTAGTTTTTGCACTTGCTGCAAGTAAACTCGAGCACTGGAAACTCTGATTCTATAGCATTTGATCCCTAAGCATGGGAGGGTTGTAAAGTTTGCTTTAGCCCATGGAATAAACACAGCTCTGTACTGCTCATGTTACCTTGGGTTTGTATGCATTCAGCATTGACATCTCTACATTTTGACCTCTGACATGTTTTGGTTGCCTCTGGACTGGTGGTGACGATGACTTCTGGTTATTGCGGCAGACACAGATGAAGAAGAAGAGCAAAGCAATAGCCAGCGGAATGGCCACACTTGGCACCAGTATGTACAGGATCTCCATTTTATTCTTCTCCTTGGAATCCTTTGAATCTGGGTCCAGAAACAAAACAGAGCAAAAGTTATACTTATTAAAATAACATGTAAACATTACACTGCATTGTTTAAAATGATCTTTTATTCTTCTATACACACAAATCCACTGTGAGAAAAAAAAAAATCCCATAGCTTATTACACTTTGTTTCTATCAAACCTTCAACATGATTTACTAAAGTTTAAAAATCTGAAGTTCAAACGTTTATAAATTATAGAGGGACGTTATGAAGACCTTGTATGTGTGCGTGGGGTCTAACCTTCCTTCTCTTAAGTGGCAGGCCTGCCTTTCTCCAACACCCTAAAAACTAAATGCCGTGAGAATGAATGGCGATAGCTGAGACAATGCGTGGACCACAGGGCTCTTCTTCCACTGGCTTCCAGCCTAGATCAGCCAGCACACCTTGGTGTTTCAGAAACCGTTCTCTTGTCTTAGGTAGTTTGGACTTACAGACCAGCCAGTCCTGTATCTCCCAGAATCAATATCACTAAAGAATCCTGGTCTCTCTGGGCAGAGAAGTCTTTCCCCTCCCAGTGGAAGGCCCTTATCAAAAAGTGGATTAAGACTGGTACCCAAAGTCTTGTTTCTTAGTTATTGCACCTGACTTTAGAATCTTTCTTTTTTGTGCCAAGTTGTGCCTTTCCTTCTGGAATTTTAAGTGAACACAGTAATAGGAACTGTTTACACTGGGAAGTGGATATTGCTACATAGAACACATCAGTGGCTTTCTCACTGTTGAGCTGATGATGCTTGGTGAATGTATAATCTACAGAGAAACCCCTGTAGCTGTACCTGCTGATGCCATCTGTCTGTTGGAAAATAAATTTTGAATGTCCCCACCCGCCCCCAAAAAAGAATCCTGGTCTTATTGTCCAAAAAGCCACTGGCCTGAGAATATGGGGACCTAAAGTCCAAGTTGGTTCAGTCTTTGATAAGCTGTGTGACCCTGAACAAAACATCCACATCTATGGGCCTCATTTTTCTCATCTGCAAAACTGAAGTGTTGGTTTTGGAAGGTGTCTACAATACCCTCCAGCATAGCAGCACTGCATAGCTGAACACATTTTTTAAGATTCTTTATTACATCATAACTGTGTACATTAAGGTATTTATGGGATACAATCTGCTAATTTCATATACAATGTGGAATGTTTATATCTAAGTGATTTACAAAACCACTCCTTGCTTACTTATTTGTTGTTGTAAAACCATTCATACTTTATTCTTAATAGGATAGAAATGTATCATTGCATTATGTTCATAGGTTGGATCCCCTCCAATATCTTCCCTCCTCCCCTCCCCCTCTGTCCTCTTTTTTTGAAACCCCCAAATTCTTCCTAAGGGGTTTCATATGAACCCAATAATTATGAGTGTTAACACTGAAGTATATTTCTGAAATCTTATATATCCACTTTACCAATGTTTGGAAAAGAATATAATATGTATAGAAGAACATGAGACATGCTTTTCTTTTCTATCAATTTGAGTCTGACCATTAAAAGAAAATCTCTAGAGCATATATTATCATTAATGAACCACTTCAGTGGTAAAATATACATAAGAATTATGGCTAGTTATTAGAGGGGTTACATAATGACAGGTCCTGATCACCAAGATCAGCTATTTTTTGTTAAAAAAAACTGAAAAGTATAAAAATTTTGATTGACACAAAATTCAGATATTATTATTTACTTTACAAAAGAATTAACCCTGCATCCATTCAATTATCTTTCCACTCATTTACTAAGTCAACAAACAAAAGCTATGTGGGCATGCACTAATCTAGACACTGGGAATATAAAATGAAATAGGACATCTCCTCTGCTCTTAAGGAGCTCATGGTTTGTGAAGGAAAATACAGAAAAGATAATTAGAATGTACTGTTGTAAGTGCTACAACCTAGGGTTGGAACAAGGCTTTATGAGTTAGCCCTTTGGAAGAGGGATTAAATCTGGCGATGAAGTATAAAAATAATAGCAATTTAAATATTTATCAAGTGTTTTCTACTGGAACAAAACCACGTTAGCTGTTATTACTACTACTAAACAGGTACTTTTCATGAACCAATTTTATGTCATGACCAACTCCAAAATAGGTGACATCCCCATTTTTATAAACGAAGAAGCTGAGGGACAGTGTGGTTAAGTAACTTGCCCAAAGACGTGCAGCTAGGAAGTCAAAAGACGGGACTCCTTGCCAGTCTCACTTCCCCTGGACCCTGCCTACTATCACCCACCCTGCCTACAATTGGACAACGGCTGTTGCTTTGTGCTCATTTTCCCACTGTAGGGTTTCTCCTGTTTCATGAAGGTAAAGAAGCTCGAGAGGAGTGTGAAAACAGTAGAGAATAACATGGAAGCTTTGCCAGACATGTTTTTTTGAACTCAATTACTTTCTACATTGTGACAGGTAAGTCTGTCACCCAGGCAGTGTGAGAGGCTGTTTTAGTCATTGCTGGGTGCTTTGGTAGCAACTGTATCCACATGTCTGCAGACAGACAGGAGGACAGGCATCTCAAAGCATAAGAGTTCTACCACTTAGATACTCTCTCTCTCTCTCTCTCTCTTTCCCTTTCTCTCTCTCTCTCTCTCTCACACACACTTATATTTACACTTTAGAAACAATGTAGCAGAATCGGGGAAGTGCCATGTGTCAGAGTAGAAACCCCTGTCATGATCTAGGTGTCCTTCAGCAGGCACTCGGGCATTAAGCCTTTCTGAGCAGATTCATCTATAAAATGGGAATGATAACACTTACTTCACAGAATTGATGCAGACAATAAATCTATCCTAGTACCAGTTACAACTGAACAACTCAATGTTTGCTCTTTACCCTTAGAGTAGAAGGGGAATCATGAACAAAAGTTTGGGGCTGGAAATGCTAAATACTTAAGCAAGAACAACTTCTCTGACTGCTGTTTTCGTTTTCTCATTTATTCAGTGAGGATAACAATACTTGATCTATTAATCTTATTTGGGTCATGTGAGAATTGGATGAGATGATGTTCATGAAAGAATCTTGAATAATTGGAAATTGCCATACAGTTGTTGAGTGCCATGTTCATTATTAATATTATAAACCATTTTCAAATTTCTCAGTACCCTGAGTCAGTGCAGGGAAGGGGAATCTGTTGTTATTCTTGGATTATCAATGAAATCATTATGAGGGTACTGATTACAAAAGCAATGAGGCTAATGTAATCATCATTTTTCCAGCCTAGATTTTTAGCAACAAAATAAAGTAGGATCTCACCTGTCTGGCAAACAAAGGAGTCTATTCTGTATTCATTCCCTATCTGATTATTCATGAAGACCTCTTCTTGTAAACAGGAGGTCTGGGACAAATGCCCCTGTAGGTCTGCAGGAGAACAAACTTCAGGAAGCTAAATCCTTTGAATAGTCAACTTGGCCCCTTCTAACTGCAAACCAGCACAGAGGGCACAATGTCTTTTTGCCAAGTGAAATAATCAAGCAAAACAATAGGTGGTCATGCGGGAAGTGACAGAAAACAAACCCAGGCTCATGGTGAGCCCTCAGTGGACCTGCTCCCTTCCCTATCCAGCTCTCTGTACTTGGCCAGAAGGGGATGGAGACTCTGGCTCAAAAAACCTCCTATAAAAATATTCCACAAAACAATTTACCTTACTAATGGAAAATCAGAAAACTAGTATCTGCTAAACTCATTTGTTACATCCTAGCATTTTTATTTTTATTTTAATCCAGCAGGTACTTTGGTGTTATCTGGATTTTGCAGGTAGAGAAAGGGAGGCTGCAGAAGGATAAATAATTCTCCAAAACTAGAAAGTAGGAGAGTGTACATTGGAATGCAAGCCTGCCCGCCTTCAATGCTTCTATGTGTTTTAAATTATATCACTAATAAAATTACCCTAAAATATTATATGGAATTGTTTTTCACCATTCTATTTAAGATTCCAAGGTTCCCTTTCAATGACAACTAATATCTGGTGGGGCTTATATTATTTTAAAAAAATCACATCAGAATAATGGAAATTATTCTTGCTATTCATGTTAAAGGGAAATGGACACTTCCAATGCACTGCAGAGAAAAATTGGGTGAAAATTAGAAGGGTGAAGATTCTTAGACTTTGGAATAACTGCTTCAAAAGTTAAATGCGCGTATTAGTTACCTCTAGTTAAATACTTGGGATTTTTTTAAACTAATAATTTAGTCCATATCACATGATTAATTTCCTTTCAAAAAGCAACAATTTGTTATCACAGTTCACATCTGATATTCCTACTTTATTTTTACAATGATATTCAATACTTTGATTAATAATTAAGTATAATGGAGAAAACACTTCTTTTTTATCCTGAAGCTTTAAAAGCAAGGTAATCGTTGATTTCTTACTCAAGAGGTATTTTTTATAAAGTGAAACATTATCTGAGATATTACTTTGAGTTAAAACAAGAAACACTCTCATTTTTAAATATGGCAAAGGTGGGAGGAAATCTTTAGAATATTAGAAGTCAAAGGAAATTAAACAAGTTTAAATTATGACCTTGACTGAAAAAAATTAAAAACTATAGAAATTAAACAGGAATCACTACCATTTATTATTTGAAAACTATAACATAAGCAGGTCTGTAGCAGGTGGGTGTGCACCAGTGACATTTAAACATATGCCCAGAAGCCAAAGAGAGAGTGTGGTAATGACACCCACAGCCAGCAGGCCCAGTCCAGGCATTCACTCCTGGTTTGACTATGGAAATACTAAGCAAATGATATGTATTCTCAAACTAGTTCTTTAAAAAATGCTCATCAGAGTGTATACAGTGATTAGAATTTTCCTCTACAAAAAATTATAGTAAGTTAGAGGCAGTAACTCATGTATGAACATTTGGAAACACGTTAGTAACTGGAATCCATGCAAGTTCACTGAAAGTTTTTATAAATTCTCAGACCTTCAGTTTTCCCTTTTATGAAAGAAAAGAGTTGGGCTAATCTTTTTTTAATAATTAAAAAATGTTTAATTAA